CCGATTGTTACCGGTATCTTTTAAAGTTCAGTTGTCACTAACGACCCTTTCCAAAGGTCAGTTGTCACTGACACTCAGTTTTAATCCAATTGTTATTGGTATCCCTAAAGTCTAGTTGTTACTGACATCATATTTAAATCTAATTGTCACTCAATTTTGTCTGGATATATTTTAAATTCATTTAATACATGTCCATTTGTCAAATTTTTTATTTTTAGCCATATGCGTTTTTATTATCAAATAAAGTCATCATAATTATGCACATATGCATTAGTAAAAAAGTCAATATTTTACATGTTAAAGAAATTAACTAAAATTTCTTTTTTTTATTATGCATTTTGAAAAATAAATTCATGATCATTTGATTTATCATCAAAATATCCATTTGAATTTTATTAATCATTTTCATGCATCATAAAATAAAAATTAATATTTCTAGAAAGTCCAAAATATCTCTCATTTATTACATCATTATTCCATACATATATTACATCTTTATTTCATGCATATATTACATCATTATTCACTTTTTAATTAAATAAGTTTCTAAAAGGCACTCACACTCTTTGCATTTTTTTTTTAATTTCTAAATTATCCTTTATAGAGCCTATAAAGAAACTTTGTTTCATTCTTCAATGACACCAAGAATCACTCACAAGAATAAGACAAAACTTTGCACAAATTTTTCTCTAATTTTCAAGTCACTTTTTATTCTTCTTTATTTAGGTAGACTTTTAAATTTTTGTGTATTAAATTTTCTTTGCATTATTATTCTTGCTACACTTAATTAGTACCTTAATCATCATCATTTTGCATGGAAACTCCATTGGTTTAAAATCAAGAGTTTAAAGTGTTCTTGAAACTCCATGAACAAAAGTGATTAAGTGTAATTTAATTTTTGTTTATTTAATTTTCTTTGTATTATTATTCTTGATGCACTTAATTAGTATATTAATCATCACTATTTTGTATGAAAACTCCATTGATTCAAAATCAAGAGTTTAAAGTGTTTTTGAATCTCCATGAACAAAAACAATAAAGTGTAAATTGGTTCTTGTTTTACATAAATAATGTATCTTATAACTTCCCAACATCTCCCCGAGTATGAATATATGGTTCGTTTGTCATAAGGGTGAATAAAATGACCGAATCAAGCAAATACTTGCTGCTGCATTTTGTTGATTCTAGAATTTTGTTGTTGCTTATTTTCTAAGTTTGAACATACCATAGTGTTCGTGAGATCGAGTAGATAAATTTTTATTATTTATTTGCTTAATTTCATAAAAACTTAAGAAATTTATGGTGTTTTTACATTTTTTTTAGAACCTTGTTCTGCCATTTTTGTTGCTACGAAAATAGTAACCAAATATGGGGTTGGGGAAGATAAAGTCTTCTCACACCCCCTAATTTCTTAACGCACCTCTGGGGGGCTCCTTTGGGCCTAGAGAATTTTCCTAGTTACACCATTTTCATCATGTTTTTGTGTTTTGTACATTTTCAGCATGTTTTCTTATTATTGCACTATCTTGAAGTTTCCATCTAAAGCTAGCCTCGGGGTCTTCACTTTAATTCACATCGGGGGAGTCGTGCACGTCACCAATAATGGTTTCATCTCCGTGGACATCAAGATCTACTACGTCAATGGTGAGGGCACGAGGTCTCCTTTACCTTCTTTCTAATAGTGAGGATAGCTGCTCAAGGGTTATTTAGTACCATCTCATCTTTTAGGCAGGCTCCACATAAGTCATCCAGAATCACAATTCGTTTCATGAAACAATTATTGTATTTCATCTTCTGGGGGATAATGGAAGCTATTGTGTCTGGTGTTGCGAGGAAATGTCTTCCTGGGATGCAACTGTAAAACTTTTCATAAGGGATCATCAAGAAGCACACATTCAGTGTCCTTTTGTCTCTTCTTTCTCCAATATAAATTGGATATTCTTTAGTAACGCATGGGCTAGTAACAGAGTCATTGAACGCTTGGAGATGCCTACCTTCATATGGTGCAAAGTCCTCTTCACCTAGCCTCATTCCTACAAAATTATTGGCATACATGACGTTGCACAAACTTACATCATCAATAAGAATTCTTGAGATTGTATGGTTATCCACGACTATGATCACCACTAGCGGAAGTGTCGTATTGACAAACCCATTAACTTTTTGTTATTTTGGAATCTTAGGATTGGTCTTTCTTTCTTCAGGTTCCATTAATCCGCCAACGATATCAAATAGTCATCTATCTTAGGTCTTTTTCTTAGTTCTCTCTTGTTGGATGATTCTCTACTGATCATAGAGATGATGAGGTTTACTAATAGTTTTGAGGTTAACGTAGAAACAACGCAGCTGGTTGTTGGATTGGATATCGTCGTTGATGATTGAGTGGGATCATCGAGGAGACGCGACTTTTGAAATTAGATGAGTTTGATGTGAACGTTTGTGAGAATCAAAAGTCGATTACCACAAATGAAATCATTGTTCTATGGTGCAACGAGAAACATTAGGTTTAGAAGGATAAGCCCTTCCGATGCGGCGGCGAGAACTTTAAGTACAATAAAGCGGAGGATATACACTTTCATACATATGTCGATCACCGTGAGTCGCATCCCTTAGATGACACAACCTTCTACTCTTAATGGTTGGCTTGTGGTTCATGTCTAATGTATCTCATCTACTTAAGTGCATCATGCGACAATTCGGCTACACGCAGTTTGTTTCCATAAACCCGTCTAATTATGCTCCCCCTATGACATAAAGAGATGTAGATACCATGTTTGATGGCTACCTTAATCATCTGGTACCAAATGAGGAACAGAGTACCATAACTCCTAACTATTGGAGTGCTGCACACGGGTAAATCTAGTGGTATTTCAGGGTGTCACATCCTTATATGACACTAGATACTTTAGGAGATCCACATATACCAGCTCATTTAGAGATACAAGAGGAGGATCAACCTAGGGTATGATGTTTATGTGTTGTCTAGATGTCGGCGTGTCGCAGATATGGCACAGGTCAGTATAGACAAAGAAGTCTTTCCCAAAGACACTAAGGCGAAGGACATTCTAGATGCCATCATGGATGAGACACGACAGACACTGCAATACAAGAGGCAGCATATCAACATGGGGGTCTAAGTCCGACATACGCAGTAGTATATAGTATTTGTATTAGGCGTATTATTATCGATTGTATTTTATTTTAACTTCATTATGCATTATGGAGCACTATTTCATTTTATTGTGAAAGTGTATGGTTTAATTTATATAAAATTAAATATAATAATATAACAATAATATATTGTTAATTTCATTGGAACATCCTAAAAAAAGTATTAAAAAAATTATTGTATGGTGTGAATACAAAAATACATCTCTGAGTTATGTATGATGTGAATATGAAGATGCACCTCTGAATTAACTTATATCAAACTGAAAGTGTTTTAATGAGGAATGCATGTGATGTATATGGGGTGGATTTGGAGACATCTTCGAAATAAATTTTGAAAAAGAACATGAGGCAAGACTTAAGTGAAGCATGTATTGAAGAGACTCATAGTGCGCCCGAAAAAAAAACTTTTTTTTTTCTGATCCAGAGCAACATTTTAGAATTTTTATAAAATATTTTCCCACCATTTATGATGAGATAAGCAATTCCCATATACTTTTCACTTTAATTTATCTTATTTATCTTAGCAGCATTTTGAACGACTCAAAATCTAAAGAATACTAGTAAGTTGAAAAGCCATAGGTATACTTAAGTGGACAAACCGAATTGGAACAAATTCTTGTGAGGGAGTAAATAATTAAAAAAAATCATAATGAATCAATGTTGACAAACCCGGACCGGATTGATGAATCCAACTCATTCAACCGAGAACTGGCAAGTATGATTAAGTTCACAATCCCATAGAAAGGAACCAAGTCAAGTTGAACCGGTTCAATTTCCGGTTCGGTTTTTAGAACATTGGTTGAACCAAATGAAGTATTAGCATATTTCAAGATCTCATTGATTTAACAAACTTGGAAATTGTTTCAAGACACGAGATTCCCAAGCCTTCCATGCCCCTGCTAGCTAAAAGCTCCCCTAGATCACCCTAATTGATTTCTGCATATTCACATGTTTCCCATTCTCCACTCACGCAAGCATTGGTTGCATACACGCAACATGAACACAATTTCCCACTTTTAGGAGCTTGCACTTTCACAATTCACACCACAAATTACTTAAAGCAAAGTCAAAGTAATTAAAAAACACAAGGGTAATGTAAATTACTATATAATGATGTATGATTAATGAGATCATTCATTGATCTTATCTTAAAGAGTTCACAAGCAAAAAACATGTGGACAAATGACATGTTTGTTTACAACCTTGATATGAATAAACAACTAGGAAATATAGATAGACCACAAAGTACAAAACTTTACAAAGGGACAAAAAACATTACAGATGGAAACTTCATCTATCACTATCTGCTTTATAATATATAATGCTGGATATAGAAATGCAATGTTGACAACACTACTCACATGCTTACCAAGGATTGATGTAGATGTATGTCTTCTCCCATGTGGTGGTACCACACTATTCACAAATGCTTACAACTATAAAACATTTTTGTAACACTTCCAAACAAAAACTGAGTTAGGTAGGTGGAGAAATAACTGTAACAAGTAATTATGTTCTTTTTCTGTTTCTTCTTTTGATATAATATATATTATAATTCTCTCAAATCACAGCAATGGTAGAGTAGAGTAGAATATCCTCAAGAAAATCTACAACAAAGCTTTTATGGTATCATCACTAAATAAATCTGATTACAATCAACATAATGGTGTGTGCTACTGTTATTTTCATGGACTAGGCCAATGAAATTTATAACAGAAAGCATATTCAAGAGGGATAAACAAATTAGCAAAACTTGTAAGACACTAGAGTAAATTAAATATACAGTTAAAAAAAGAAAAAAAGAAAAATGATTGATGAATGAACTACATTCATGAATGCCAGATTCCATTCAACATAGTGCGGAACCGGTTTGTGGATAGTTTCTTGACAAGTTTTTTAGCATCAGAAGAAACTTCAATTTCTGCAAGTTTGTCTATGTTTTTGGCGTAACCAGAACTAACAATCTTTTTTCTGCCACTATTGCAACTTGTCAATGACATTAAGATTGAGATTAAGAACTTCTTGTTACCTGAATTTCCCTCTTCTGGATCAAGCAATTGCAGAAGCAGGGCTATGTTATGGTCGTCCTGCACGAATCGTTTCCGATTTCTAGGTACCATGACCATGCCAGAGAGTGCTTCGGCTGCCATTTCACGAACTTCGTATGATTTTGCGTTCAGAAACTTAACAAACTCTGCCATGAAACCTGCGTCGCCCATTGCTTTCTTAGCCTCTTCAGATGTTCCGCATAATCTAAACGCCACTTTCAATGCTAATTCTTGAATTGAAACTTCGCCGTTTCGAACATAATATAGTAATTGATCCACAAAACCATAACTCATTAAAATACTTACAGAGCTGGATGATATAAAACACAAACTTTCAATAGCCCTCATTGCTATTACCTTTGTTTTCACAGAATACGACCATTTCGGTTCCAAAACACGTAACAAAGCTCGGATTCCGCCGTCTCTAATCACCTTTTCCCTAATTAACTCATCTCCACAGGCAATATTCTGAATGAATCCAATTGAATTCACCTGAATAGCTTCCTCCTTTGATTTCACAAGCCTTATAAAAGTCGACACAGCATCCTCTTCGACCATAAACCGCTTAACCTCTTCAACACCAACAAGATTTCTCAACACACCACAAGCAGGACCAACCAAATCCCCTTTACAATCATCATTCCCACAAATATTCAACAAGGAAGTAACACCGCCATGAGCAGAGACAGCCCAAGCATTGTCCGAATTCTCTGTCAATTTCATCAAACACCTCGCAGACGCAACTTTCCCTAATTCACTACCGCAATCCAAAACCCGAATCAACGGCGCAATCACACCAGCACTAACCAAAACCCCTTTGTAAGAATCAAAACCAGCAACCACAGAAACAACCTTAGCACTCTCCTCTTGAATCTCCACCTCACCAGAACCCAAAAACCCCACAAGCACATGAACAACATCACTCACATCCACAACAATCACCTTCACATACTTCTCATCCTCAACCACAACCTCAAGAAGATTCCTCAAAGCCTGTTTCTTCATACCCAAATCCCCAATCTTCATCCTCGTCAAAACATCTCTCACATAAAACCTCATATCCTCCTTAGAAGCACCAAGACTCGGTTTTGAAACAACAAGCGCAAACCCATTTGTCAAAATCCCCGTTTTATATATCTCCGAAAGCCTCTTCGCTAAACCATCAAGTTTCGCAAACGCCACGTCCAAATCACTCTGCATCAACAACTTCCCGCTATACGCAACATCGACGCAACGCTGACCTAGATCGTGACACTCATTTACAGTCGCAACTATCGATGTCACTAACCTCGAAAGCGACGGGTTCTCACCGGAATCGCAATTTTCGGCGGAGACTAAACCCGAATGAAGCTCCTCAAGCTTGTTCCGAATCAGTTGCCATTTTCCGGCGAAGACTCTAATCGAGAGAGATAGAGAAAGTAATGAGCAAATGAGTTCCACAGCTCGCCGGAGACGGGAAGCTCCGGTAGGTACTCCCGCCAGTTCGGATTCTCTCTCTAACTCTTCATCACCCATTTCCGTCCTCAGTGGTTTCTATAAACAACCATTTTCCGGCGAAGAAGAAAGAATATTCCGGCGACAAAACGTTGGATTCAGTTATTGTAGAATCAGAGTAACTATTTTAAGAAGAGAATTTAGAGAGAGAAAGAGTTAGAGAGAGAGAGTTTTTGTGCAGATCTAAGCTTATCCTTTAGATTACAGTTGATACGGGTGATACAGAGATGGAGTCAAGTTAGTTGGGTTCATTTACTAAAATACCCTTTAGAGGTGTTGTTTATAATGTGTAATGTTTTTGTTTGTTAGTGCAAATGAGTAATTATAAATGGTGAAAAGTGTGAGAGAAGTTGGGTGTGATATAAAGAAGATGGAGGTGGGATCATGTGAGGTGTGTGTTGAAGGGAAACAATGGAGGATAATTTATTAGGTGGTGTTTATTTGGAATTTAGGATGGAAAGTGTTTCTTCTAAACACTGTTTTGTTCTTATATGCATTCGGGAATTGAATAAGATTATGGGTAATGTTAACTTGTGCCCTTGGGGCACATGTTAAGGAAACCACCTTTAGTAAATTTGTATTGGGAAAAACAATTTAAACATTAATTTTATACTTTAATTTAAGTTTGTACACAATTTCTAAGATTATATTTCTTAATTTAGTTTTAAACATGTGCCCCAAGGGCACAAGTTAACATTACCCTAAGATTATTTCAACATAGGATTGAAAAGGATGTAACAAACTCTGCTAGCTCTTTTGTTTTACCGTAAAAAACTTAAATTAAAGAAAATTAGACTCACATTTATTGATACTAACTTTCTTACCGGAGTAGTTTTATAGTTTATTAACCTTTTTTTAATTACTTTGTTTAATTAAAAATTTGGTTTAGTTAAAGTGGTTCTGAATCATGTCAGAAAATTGAAACAGCTGAAAACCTTGTGAGAAGAATTCTTGTTCAATTCCTTTTTTAAAAAATTAACAATTCAATTGTTTATTTTATACTAAAGTCAAGCTAACGCATATTATTATTAAATAACTAAAATTTTAATTGGACGGTTTAGATATGGCCATACTAACATTTTTTTTCATTAAAAGAAAATCCAAACCAGTATATCTTGCAATGAAATCTTAGAATAGTAAAATTTAATTATTACTTTATAATTACTTAAAAGTGAATTATAGATACTATTGTAACTGCTTGACTTTAAGTAAAGAAAGGGTTTACTAAATATCCATCTCATTCTCAATTCACATTTCATAGACATAATTCATTTCCATTAATAAAATTGCTTCTACTACATTATTTCCATAAAAAAAGAGGAGTAGATATGAAGAATAATATTCATATTTTCTATCATTTTAATGCTAGCAACTGACCAATGACCAACTACAGACCAATTAAAATAAAACTCCCTAGAAATAATCAATAAAAGAATTTATATTATTAGAATGCTTTTAGTTAATGGAAAACAAGATGAAAACATAGTCAGAAAAGTAAAATAATGCAGAGAAATTAGATGGATTTTAGATGGACCACATCTTAATAGGGACATAGCTTTAATTATGTGACAAAAACTAAAATGTGTAGCTTTCATTGGCCTTGGAAGAGAAATGTCACACCCCACCATGTGAAACTCTTTGTTTGGTAGATCCCTTGAGCAAGCAAGCAATGACCTTTAGTAATTTGTAGTGGGGGGTGAATCAAATTAATAATTCAGAGAAAGTTGCTTTCTTTTCTTTTCTTTTCCAACACTTTTTGTGAGATGCAGTAGTAATGAAGAGTCCAATAAAAGCCAAAGGAGAGAGGTAATATTATGAATGCAACTCCATCTTGGAATATTTTGCAATGAAATCTTAGCTGCATGATCAACTTCAAAACAATTGGTGCATTTATATAATCACAATTTTTTACTACAATTAGTCTCGACCGTTGATTTTATGTTAGATGACTCAAATGACACGTTTATTTAATTAGTTATAAACCTCTTTTCTTAGAATTGTCTCAAATTTTTGGAAGTACATATAGGTTGACTGTAATTTAATCATGATAAAATAAATAAATGTTATGTTTAACAATAATTTAATTGTAATAATATTTTACGAAGTTCTATTTATCCACAATTTAACTGTGACAAATTTTGATCCTTATGCGGTAGTTCGTCTTACACACTTTTAAAATCACTCTCACATACTAAGAAGTTGTGAGTTCAACTCTCATTATCGATGTGAGGATCTCTTTGACGGGTGATCTATAAATACCTCTATAAACGCTCTCTAAGACTTGAGATCAATCTTGACCCTGATGAGCCACTAGAGTCTAACTCAACTAAACTTTTTTTTTGTTGCCAAAAATCAACTTTATTTGTTCCAACAATTTAAATTGCATAATAGAAATCAATAAATATGTCACTATTAATACATAAAAACTGTGTAATAATTTAATTTTTGAGGCAATAAACAAAGAAAAAATTAAGCATTCTCTTTTATTATAAAATATTTATACAATATTACTTAATTGACGTGTAGTTGTTGAGTTAAATAAGAATAAATTGTTGGTTTAGAGTTCAATCTCTTAAAATGGAATTTAATGTAAATAAAATTTTAATTTTTATAATAAAAAAGTATGTTCTTAAAACCTAGAGATTGGTTATTTTAAATATGACATTTGGGTGGTTGAAGAGAAAGAATGTTCTTGTGTGCATGATGTTATTATTGGTTCGGTTTTAAGGAAGGATGTATCTTCAAGATCTGACTCTTGGTGTGAAAATAATATAGATCTCTCTATGTCAAATCTTGGATTTATAAATACGACACTCATCAATAGAAAAGACTCTTTTGATTCTTTGCATGAAGAGGATGATGATGAATAAATGGATAAAGAAGAAGCTATTGGCACATTTCCCTTTACAAGAGGGTGGAAAGACCTAAGTAGTTTTCCAATTGTAAAAGGATAAGTAGGGTGTCCCTTTTTTATGCTCAGAAAGTTGAAGAGAATGTAGTTGTGAAAGGTTCATGTCATGGTACTTTGAAGGTTGTACAAGAAAAGGCAGGGGTTGCTGCATTTTTTCAAAAATATTTTTGGGTTAGTGAAAGAAAACATAGGTGCCAAATGTTGAAAGAAATTGTTATCATTAGGGAGGAAAGTGATTCAGGGTTTTCGTGTTTCCATGCTAGTATGACCCCTACAATATCATGGGAAAAAGCTATTAGAGCACTTTCCAACTTTCAAGGAGAACCCATTGTCTCTCTCCAGCAAAAGTGTTAATGCCTCATTTAGGCTAAAGGTTTAGAGAAATGGTAGGCTTAATGTTTTTTATGACCCAGGATACGTTGAGAGGTTTATCTCCAAAAAGAAGGGTGTATCTTAGCATTCTGTTGTGGAATTTGTTAAATATTAGGGCATGGCAGATTTTAGACCTTATTTGGACAATTATTTTTTCAAGTTCACCCTTAATAAGCATTTTGGTACCCCATTGGATTATAAATCATTTTCACTAATTTTAAGCAAGTCTATTGGTTCTCCTGATTATTTAGTTAGCATCTCTGATTCTTTAGAAGAGGCTTCAAAAGGGTTTGATAATTTTGTCACCTTTTTTTGGTTCCTGGAGCATTATGACACCTCTACCTCAACGCATAGAAATGATCAATAATTCTTCCATTTCTGAGGTGTTGGTTCCTGACCATGTGAATCTTGATAGTACATCATAGGCTTAATTGGATATTAAGGATTTGTACCTTGTTGCTTAAGTTTCTCCTAGTGTAGTTCGGGTGACAAACTCGTGTCTAATTCTAATTTAAATCAGGTTTCATCAGTTCCATCCTTCCCTCTTCTTAAAACAGGTATTGTTGAACCATGTACCTTTATTGGTTTTTATTTGTAAGATATTTTTCCTACACATTTACCAGAAGAAGGCTTGGGTTCTCAAGGTTTCTCTTTATCTGTCTGCCTTAAAGGTTCTTCTTCTCTATTGTCTCCTATTTTTGTGGCTCTGAGTCCATAATTAATAGGAGTTTCTAAAGACTTTGAGAATAGAACGACAAATAGGATTCTTAGAATGACTAAGCGCCTAGGTTGTTCTTTAGTTAAGTGTGATAAGGTTGAAATCAACAAGCTAATGGATCTAGAAAAGAGGGATATGACTCGAAAGAGAGTTCGGTCGGTGAAGGGTTCTCGCCGATGTTAATTTGTTATTTTAATTATAAGGGATTGAGGGAGGGATAAAGCATTATAAAGTGAGTGACCCTACTAGGGATTATTCCTTATAATTTATAGCCATTCAAGATCCCACATACTCTAGTTCATTCCTTATGGGTTAACCAGTTATGTGATTGGGGTTTTTGTCCTTCTGTGGGGAGTAGTGGTGGACTTCTTTCAATCTGGTGTAGTTCAAAAGGAAGAGATTAGTTTTCTTTATCAGATCCTAGTTTTCTAGGTATTTTTTTAGAATGGGGCACTTCTAACTTTGTGTGTTTTGTGATAAATGTTTATTCCAAGTGTTCTCTAGCAGATAAAAGGTCCATCTAGACAAACTTATACTCTAGCAAAGCCAGGTTTGGAGGTGTTATTTGGTGTGTTATGGTGGATTTTAGTTCCACGTGCTCTTCTTCTGAGAGAGTGGGAGTGGGGGTTTCTTTGACCTCTTTTAGGAGAACGGATTGTTTGGAGTTTTCTAATTTTATCTCTCAGATGGAGGTCATTAATTTACCTCTTATTGGAATAAATTTTACTTGGTTAAAGCCTTATGGAGAGGCAGCTAGTAGGATTGATCGTATTTTGATTTTCAGTAGGTTGTAGGATAACTAGGGGTAACTCAATGGGCCGTTCCAAGGGATGTCTCTGGTCATTGTCCTATTATCTTGAAGTACACAATCAATTGTGGGGTCCAAAACCATTTAGATTTAACAATCATTGGGTAGCTCGCAGAAGGCTTCTTGAGTTAGTTTCTATACATGGAACAATATAGAGATCCATGAATAGAAATCTTTTGTTCTGTTGGAGATGCTTAAAGCTCTCAAACTAG